AGGCTATCGTTGTCTGCATCTTTGTTAAGTTCCTGGCTAAAATCGACGAAGCGCCTTTATAGTAATGCAAGTTAATCTGGATACAATTATCCTGGAACCAGACATTTTAAAACTGATTTGCATGGTTTGCTACTTGTCCATGGATGAGCCCCTTGAAGTTCCCGTACCAGCTTGCATGTAAAGTTTTGTTATTGTTTACTTGGGACGTCTCCATTCACATCTCACGAGCAAAGGGGAAACGTAAGTCTATCTTTAAAGAGCCCCATTTAAGGAGAAGGCTATTTTCATCTAAGAGATCGCCTGGTATTTTAGTCTCGTTTGAGAAACCTTCATTCGGATCCACGTAAAGACCCGAAGGATACCTTCTCAGTAGTTGTATAATTAAAATTGGCACCTTTTAAAGGTGTATGTAACGAGATACTCACGATCTTTGTCTTTTTGCGTAAGAATTGCGTCTATAACTGTGTCCTCGAGTCCGTAAGCAGAAGGAACGGTAGGCCGGGCCTTGGCACATTTCCGGTCGAAGCATTTTCCAATGCTTTTTTAACATTTCTAAACGCAATTTCGTGATCCCCGGTCCATTAGTACATGAAGAACAGCATTGAAAAGTTGGATATGTTCATCGAATGTTTTGGAGATAATAATTCAATCGTGTAGATAAGGATGAACCTGATCGATAAATTGTTTCTGCGTAGAGGAGAACGGGGCGAGGCAGCCAAGACGCCACATTTTGGTTTGCGAGGCAGTTATTTAAATAGGGTTTTTCAATTTCAATATCGCGTTAGAAAGCTTGTATTTTTGGCTAAAAAATCGCCACAGAACATTTTGACGTAGGTTGCACTTAAAAATTTCTACAACCCTTTTCCCAAAGGACCACATTTTGGCATATTTGCAAAAACGTGGAGTGAGGCGGCCAACTATTTTGATAGTTAAAAAAACATAACTTAAAGTTAAAATTAGTGAAACATAACAAGGTAGTTGTACTTAACTTACTTTTATTTTGTTAGTAAACTTAAAAAATTTACATTTGAATAATATTATAATAATAACATTAATTAAATTCTATTTAACATTTTAAGGAAATATAAATTTGTTAGGGATACATCTGATCGAGGATTTAAAAGTAGCTCCAATTTTGACAGGCTCGGATCACTTTCCTGTTATAGTGTCATTTAATTTCAACATATTTAAAACTAAAAAAAAATGTGAAAAAAAAATTAATGAATCATATAAATTATTACTTGATGTTAATAAAGAGAATGACTATTATTTTGGGATGGAAAATTTTATTCAGGAGGCGAGTTTGTCTGATGATGTCGACTGTATGGGTGACTTTTTTAGTTTTGCAATAGATTATGTAGCCTCTTCCTTAGATATGAAGAAAAAAATAAGAACAGTTTCTGACTATTCTCATGTAAATAAGCCTTGGTTTGATAGAGAATGTGTGAATAAAAAAAGGCGGATTAAGTCTCTTTTGAATCTTTGTAAAAAATTAAATTTTGAAGGAAATTGTAAATTGGACTATTTAAATTTGAAAAGAGATTATAAGAAATGCTTACTGGACAAGAAACGGTGTTATGAATTAAGTAGGGTTGATCAATTATCAAAAGCAAATTGCCCTGTCCTCTTTTGGAAAATTATAAATGAAGTAAAATTAAAAAAGGTTAATTCTGACGATTTGAGTATGGATGTTTGGGACCAGTATTTGCGGAACTCTTTCCCACCTCAGCGTACGCTTGAAACTAAATTAGATTTTCAATCTGATTCATATTTGGATTCTCACATATTAATAAATGAGGTAATACAAAGCTTGTTGAAATGTAAAGGCAATAAAGCTCCAGGTGTGGATAATGTAAAAGGAATTTTTTATAAAAATTTACCTCCTTCCTGGATTGCCTTTATGTGTAAATATTTTAATAAAATCATGGAGGTTGAAAGAGTTCCGGAAAGATGGGGTCATTTACAGATGTTTATGTTATTCAAAAAGGGTGATTCACAGGACCCACTTAATTATAGACCTATAACGTTGGTAAATGTGATCACTAAGATTTTTACTCAGATTCTGTCTGATAGAATTAATCAATATATGATAGAAAATGATTTGTATTCTGAATTTCAGTCGGGCTTTAGAAAAGGAAGAGGCTGCAGGGACAATTTATTCACATTTTTTTCTTTGATTCAGATCCATGAGTATAATGAGAATAAAGCATTATTTGCGATATTTGTCGATTTTAAGAATGCATTCCCATCTGTTCTTCATCATTTGTTATGGTCTAAACTCCATTCTTTAGGTATAAGTTCAAAAATTATTAATATACTGATTGATTTTTACAATAAAGCTAAAATTTGTATAAAGTATAAGAATGAAAAATCTGAGTCAGTGTGGGTTACGAGAGGTCTACTGCAGGGCGAATCGCTGAGTCCATTGTTATTCTCAGCGTTTATGATGGACCTGGAGGAGTTCTTGATAAGTGAGGGTTGTAGAGGAGTTTTTATTAATAAAGTAAAGGAAATTTTTTTATTAACTTATGCAGACGATCTAGTTATATTTGCAGATACTCCATGGGAATGTGCTCGCAAGTTAAAGGCTTTATCAAAATATTGTAAGAAGTTTGGGTTAACTGTAAATACATCTAAAACAAAGATAATGATATTTGAAAAGGGTGGAAAACATACAATTAATATAAGATCATTTTTATTTGATAAAAAACCAATTGAAGTAGTAAGGGAGTTTGTATATTTGGGTCTTACAATCTCAGATTCTCTTAGTTTTGAAAATATGACAAAAAGGGTAATTAGTTCAGCTAATTTAGCAATCACTTCTTGTATAAAAATAATAAACTCTATAAAAATAGAGAATTGGGAAGCTTGTGATAAACTTTTTCAAAGCTTTATTATAAGTGTATTGACCTATGGGGTGCAGTTGTGGGGTTTGATGTTTATGGAGAAGCTGGAGTCTGTTCAATTAGCATTTTTGAAGAGAGTGTTGGGCCTTCCCATGAATACCTCTTCAAGAGCGTTAAGATGTGAAACAAATGTACTCCCGCTGTCCTGTACAATATTGAAGCTCACTCTCTCGTGGATTAAAAAATTGCACGTCATGGATGGGTCAAGATACCCGAAAATTTGTATTGAGGAATTGATAAGACAAGCACAGCTGAATCCAAATAAAAATAATTGGTATATTCAACTTAAAACAACATTTAATTTTAGCGCCTTTTTGGATGTATGGGAGTCTTACTCTATAGAAAGTATAGCAGAGAATTCAGACGTAATTCTAGATTCTTATTGTAAAAGCTTGCGAGAGCATGATAGAAGTTACACTGCAGTCTCTAAGAGTTTGCGATTTTGGCCTCACATTACCCTTAATGCACCTCGTGATTCATATATATTTAAAAAATTACCTATTTTCTTTAAACGAATTTTTGCTCAAATCAGACTTTTAAATTTTTATAACCCCCGTATCGTAGCTAAAAGAGAAAAATTTGTATTGGAATGTAAGGACCTTTGTCCTTTGTGTTTTCTAGACTCTGAAAATTTAATTCACATGTTAATGTTATGCCCGGCTTATAATAATATTAGATATAAATACCCACAAGTTTTTACTAATAAAGTAAATTCTCCAGATTCTTGGTTTAATTGCATGAATTCAAATGAACCCTCATTTATTAGGAACTTCACCTTGGCTATTTTGGAAATATTGCGTTTGAGAGCTGAATTGTATGAGTTTCTGTAATGTGTGTGATGCTGGTCGATTTGTAGTGGTTCTTCGTTTTACTATATAGATTTTTTTGTATTTGTGTATTTTTATGTATATTTGAAAAATTTATTTTTTTTAGTACTATTAACTGTATGCTCATAGTATTGCTCCTATGTATGGGCCGAATTTGGCCAAAAACATTGAATAAAATCTAATCTAATCTATAAATTTGTTATTCTTAAAAAATGGTTTATAAAATTCAATGTTAACTTTAAAATGTATTGAAGTAGGAAATAAAGAGAAAACATTTAGAAGAACCAATAAAATCAACACAAAAAGACGAAAAATTTAGCGTTGGCTGCCTAACCCCACGAGTACTTTTTTAAGAAAACATTCACAAAACCAGTAATATTAAAAATATCATTAACACCATCGTCTTCAGCACTAAATTCTGCATTGAAAATTACTATACTCTTGTATAGTATATAATAATATATTATAATATTAATAATTAATATATTATAATTTTATTCGTGTAACTCTTTCATAAATGATACTGTCATTGCTAAACTGCTGCACCAATAATGCCCATCTGTTAGCAACTAAAGTAAACTACCATAAGCAGTCTAAATTATCAATAGCGCACGATTTGAAAAAATTATGCGGAGATAAGAAGCAATTGGCTGCCTCGCCCCGTTCTCCTCTACCAGGAACGACAAAGGCGGTATATTCAGCGGTTCGCGTTATTTCGTCTAGTATTGGTTTGACATTTGAAAATCCTGTTTTTTTTAGAAAATTCGATTTAAATTTTTATAGAAAAAATGCCAACATTTTGTAACATTGCAACATTTTTTAATTTAACTTGTGGGGTTTGAAAGATCATAATATAAGCCACGATTAAGGACAGAAAGAATTATTTTACTATAGGTAAAAGGAAAAGGATACAGCATTTTAAAAATATTTTTACGTAATTTTCTTAAAATCGTACATTGTAGTTTAAAATTTTGAAATGCGTATATATTCATTCAATAACTTTTTTTTGCAAAACAAAATACAGATCGTCTAAAATTGTTTGAAAAACAATATATTTCAATTGGAAAAGGATTTTCTGACTTAAAATACATAGCCTGTTAGAATTGAAATGGAATCGACCCTCAATTAAATAATTATATGAATATAAATTATTATTTTTTAATTGAAATCAAGAACTTTTTTAATTGTATGATATAATTTATCTTTATTGTAATTAAAAAAGGAAAGAAAAATTAAATCGGACGTTTCAAAAGAAATAACATACGAAATGAATCAAAATTCGAATGACAGTTTAAAGGAAAAGACGAAAAACTACTTGGAAAATGAGAATCGACAAAGGAAAGATGAAATACGTAAATTAAAGAGTGAACTAAATGAAAAAGCTATAGAAATTCTAACTTTGGAGGTAAATATTTTTTATATAAGATATGATTTAATCAAAATACAAAAAAACAAGATCTTCCAAAAGTATAATTTTAAGAAATAGAAAAGAGTGGTAGATACTAAGATTATGATACTGTAATATTCCACGAGATTTTGAAGATATCACAAGTAATCACAAGTATAGTCATAATGAATATCAGTGTGACATACTAGTGGTATAAAGCTTCCATCTTGAGAAAGTAAAATTTTTGATAAATTATGAAATTGGTATTTTTGAAGGAAAAACATAAGGAGATGTTGATAACAATAACAAAGAAGAAATTCGAGGAAATGAAAAATTTAAAGAATTATCATGAAAAAAAACTTCAAAATCTAGAAGATAGTTTTAATAAATGGAATAATGATGGATTTTCATATGGCACTGAAAATTGGCTTAAGGTAATAAGTTAAATATACAAGAATATAATAATCTACTACACTAAGCGAAGTGCAAGACTCAGACGTTCGAATCGGGAAGTTTATCCCATTATTTTTGTACGATATAATATTTAACTGATCGTGTCTCAAGTAGCTTTTCGTAAATTTTAGTAGTTAAGCAAATACGATAGAACAACAGAGGGGCTTCGTTAAGCACAGAATATGTCCCACAATTCTCTCAGTGTAAATAGAAAATAAGAGTTATAATTCTTCACTTATATATAATTCTAATGATCAGAGTTATTGTTAAAAAAACTTTCTCGCTTCATGGGGTTTTGGAACTTTATTTAGGGGATAATTTAAGGGGAGGTTCCCATTGCGGGAATAAAACAATTGATTTATTTTTTATTGTATTTTTTGAAAGCTATATATATATATAGAATATGTGTGTATAGCGATTTTTTGATCCGAAGAATATTTTCGTTTTTATGGGGTCTTGAACTCACTGCCGTCCCGAGCACTGATTGTGAGTAACAAATGTCAGGCAAATCAAATCGATTTTTAAAAATTTTGCAAATCTGACCTCAGAATCGTAAAGGGCGACTCTAAATACCTATAGATAAGGGAAGTGTTCCGGTTGTGGGCACCCTTTTGTTTTGTCTCATAACATTTGTCCATGTGCATATTATACAAATATATGTGTACGAATTTAAAGCTAGAAGTCTAAGGTGACTGTCAGTGAAGGAATTAAATTGATTCCTTTAAATAAAAAAGTTTTATTAGAAATTTAGTGAAATGGAAATTTTTTGACAAAAAAATTTTTGTACCCGGTTGTTGGCACCCTTGAAAAATCCGCTAAAGATGGAAAAATATTAAAGGAAACCAACACAAATAAAGAAAAAATGAAAGTTTCTTTATTTTAAGAGATTTTGCCGGAATAAAGAACAAAAATGATGACACGTTTTCACACTATGCTCATCGCTAACAAAAGCATAATGCTTGCATGTGAAGTAGCTAGTACGCATACCATTACGCACTTCTAATGCACTGAACGACTATATTCATCGCATTTAATTGAGTTTGCGGCTGTCAATTTCCTAGGCAGAAAGTTTAGATGGATGAGACAGTAGTCCACATCATTGTCAGATGGTAGAGCCTCCTTAACATAAAGGTGCCCACAACCGGGAATGACAGTCATTTTTTAAAAAGACCAACACATTTTGTGATGCAGGATTGTGGTTAAACACAAAGGTAAATCACAAAATATAATGGCAACACTGCAAAAACAAAATTAAACCCTTTTTCTGAACGAATCTACACCCATATGTTGCTCTTTGAAAACAATACAAAATTACTTTTTTATTTATTAACTGCAAATTTTTTTTTATTATGCTCACAGCTATTACACAAATGCATATATATTTGTTTCGTTATCAATACCAAAAGTCCGTATTGTCAACGAACACGACTTGCAATACTTAGATCAGTAAAGTCTGCTTGCCGTCGAAGTTTACGTAGGGGTGCCCACAACCGGAGGGTGCCCACAACCGGCGCACTTCCCCTATTTATCATATACGCAAATTAAACAAAGAATTGCAAAGAACACAATTATTGCACAAAAATGTTTATCAGATTTTATATGCGATTTTCTCGAAACAAGATTTTGCAAACTGGTGGGAATCGTAGCGTCTAAACTATTTAATCAATCAACTTCGGGTTTGCGGCTAATTAAAGGTAACTAAATTCTACTGGGGTTATACCTACAATATGATAAAATTGTTAACAATAGAGATTTTCACAAGAGGTCAAATATGAAAAAATAATGCAAAAACAAGGTTTTTTAAACATGTGTCCGCCATTTTGTCATTTTATTAATTTTTTAACTATTTTATAGGTATAACCTATTCTTTAGGATGTCACCTTTATAAAAAATTTGAGTTTTTGTTTTAGACTAAAAATTGCGCAGTGTAGAATGCCCACCGTTTTCCCTATTTAAAAAAACATTATTTTCTAGATGCGCCATATTGGCCGCCATTTTGCATTTTTTTGAAAATGAAATATATGTTTCAAAAGTTTAAGAATGTATCTTTATTTAGAAAAAAAAATTACAACGCTTAGTCATAGCCGTTCCTCGCAAAAAATTGTGGAAATTTGTGTTTATTTTGGCTTCCGCAATGAGAACCTCCCCTTAAATAATTAGTGACGTAAAATCATGTCAATCACCAATGATCTTGGTATCAAAACAGTATTCAGTTTATGAATCTTAGTATACACTGATTTGGAATAGAGGTGCGCAGTTATTAATAAGGCTATAATTAAACCATTGAAAGAATTATGATGTAATCACTGTCTGGCTCGTTTACTTTCCACATCTCTCTTTTTTCTATCCACAATGCTCTCAACACCTCAAAAAATGGCTGTTAGGTTTGGGTCAGCTGTGACTGATACAGCTTCTTTCTTCCCCTGAACTATAGGTATCTGTATCACATCCATATATCTAGTCCCACAATCGTCATCATTGTCCTCAATTACTCTTCAACAGAATAAGCTTTCCTTATGGAGCGGTCACAGTTCGGCTTCTTGCGCAGGCAGCAATAAGAGTAAGGGGGACAACAATATTTTCTTTCTCGTTTACTCCAATTGTTGCCTGCGCAGGTAGCCGAGATGTGACCGTACTATAACGTGATCGGTTTTTGCACAACTCTAACACAAATAAAATATATATCTCTCTCTCTCGACTGTACTTCTCACACTGTCTTGACCCAAATGTACAATTTGTCTTTATGCTTTTAAGGTACAGCTTTCCAAAGCTTTCCATATTGCTGCGCAATTCGGGCATGTCAGAAAGTTTACTTTTAGTGTTTTGCATACTAGACATGACTCCGTTTGAACTTGACTCAGGCGGCATTGTTTAACACAATATTCCTGTTGCTGGCAGTTAAAACAGATCCTCTTCGAGCAATCTCGAGCACTATGTCCTGCCATCTGTCACTAAAAACAAACTCCCATAAATTGCTTTGGCGTAGCTGGTGTACCACTTTGCCATATATTTGTCCTATTAGGGCCAATTGATTTCGCTCATCCTGATACGATTTATCGCATAGGTATTAGCAAGATTTGTGAAGAAGTTGGACTGGCATCTTGGCTCTGCATTGATGGTTTTTAGACTGTTGTTACTAGTGTTATGGCATCTACACTTATACTCTCTGATTTTTCCATTCTCATGGGATCATAGTCTTCTTGCTCTTTTTTGTAGAACGGTCAAGCGGGCGCTTCATGTGGTTTAGAATTAACATCAAACTTGTCAAGTATGGAGATATTTTCTCTCCTTTTCCTTGTGCTCTGGCCCTCAACTCATCAATTACGTCATCGTCGTCTACCGTAATCAGATATTCATTCCTGAACGCCCTCTATCTCTTGGAAATTAAGTTTGACCTCTAAAGACATTTTAATTTCACGTTAAAATATTTTTTCTTTCTTTTCTGAACTCTTTATTTCAAAAGGGAAAGAAGATCATAATTTTATTTATTATTTTAATAAATAAATTCACTGGTTCTCATTACAATTCATCTCAACATAATCAATTTCAATCTGGCATAATAAATAAAAATTTAAAGTAATAAATTTCGCCGTCAGGCGGTAATTAATTTTCTAATTAAATAACAGTCAACATAACAGTTTATCTATCACAACTGACTGAACACAAAACCAACACCTCTTAGATTTTCTTTCTCTTCAGAGAAAATTCTGCCTAAACCAGTTGGCAAGCAGAAATGCCAACTACAAGACATCACTGAGACGATACTGAATCAAAGTTACTCACGACTCACATACTTTCTTCCGACTGCAGGCATGCTCTTCTCCAGGGATTCCTTAGGTTAAGGCTATGTCCAAGTTGTGAAATGTAAACAAACCAAAAGGTGAACAAACGAAGCACTAAAATCGCAATTTTGCAACAGCCGATTCTCCCACAAAAATTAACATTTTTACACTTTGTGACGTATGATTTTAAACTATTTTAATTCTAGTTCAAAGTTTCTGCTAAACGTCAGGCAAAATCCGACGCTTTCAACACACAATTTATATGAAATTTAAAGTAAATAAATTTCGCCGTCAGGCGCTAATTAATTTTAAAGATAATTAATAAACTTTTCCTCGACTACTTTACTAAACTTTTTCTCGGCTCGACTAATAACAAATCAACTCCTCTGAATTTACTCTCTCACCCAGAGGAAATTCTGCTCGAACGATTGGCAAGCAGAAAATACCAACGGCGAGATACGACTGGCACAATGTTGATAAAGGACTTACCCACGACGACTCGGTATCACAATTTCTCTCGTTGACCTCCCTCGTCTCAGCTTGGCTCACTAGTTGACGTCCTAGGAATCCGTGAGGGAAAACTTGGGAGGATGATAATTAATTTTTTAACACTTTAACACATTAATCACAACTTTTATTTATCAGAAATAGCCCAAGAGTTTCACACTCTAATAGTTAGCACTTCGGCTCACACACTCACTATACAAATTTATAAAGAAAAACGAAAAATTCTTTAGCAGTGAAATACCGGCGTACTGGCACGACCGTCAGAAATTTTCATTATGGCGGCAAAAGTATTGCTATCTGTAGCGTCTCTCAAATTTCCGTTCGCACGTGGCCCGTCTTCTTCACCTCGTTCTTTGAAAGTAATACTGGCTCCGCCATCTATCACTTTCTCTAGGTAGCTAGCCGCGCGACCTTCTTTCGCTGCTACTAGTAGGTCAGCCGGCAGCGCTAGCTCTTCCTTAATTACCATGATAATTGATTCTGTCAATTTGGGGCTTTTCCGACGGATGGCGTGACGATCCAGAATTTTCAACAGGAATTGTTCAAGTGAAAATTCGCATCGTCACAATCCCCTCCCCATGACCGGTACTATTTTATATAGAACCGTCATCATCATGATGATCCTGGCTATTTCTCCTGGCTCTCCTACTCTCTATTTCTCTGGCTCTTCTACTCCGGCTCTCCTATTCTCT